ATGTTACCCAGGCTGGAGTGCAATGGCGCGATCTCGGCTCCCCGCAACCTCCGCCTCCTGGGTTCAGGCAATTCTCCTGCCTCAGCCTCCTGAGTAGCTGGGATTACAGGCATGCACCACCATGCCCAGCTAATTTTTTGTATTTTTAGTAGAGACGGGGTTTCACCATGTTGACCAGGATGGTCTCGATCTCTTGACCTCGTGATCCACCCGCCTCGGCCTCCCAAAGTGCTGGGATTACAGGCTTGAGCCACCGCGCCCGGCGCTGATTTTTGTATTTTTAGTAGAGACGAGATTTCACCACAATGGCCCGGCTGGTCTTGAACTCCTGACCTTAAGTGATCCATCCACCTTGGCCTCCCCAGGGGCCAACCCCCATCCCGGACGCACCTGCATGGTCAGCCCCAGCTTCTTGATCCGGTCCTTCCCCTCCTTCGTCCAAGGGCCGGGCTCGTCATCGTCCCTTCGCAGGAGATAGCGCCACACGAGGAACCCGGACTTCCCCTTCTCCGGCCAGTACTTTACCACCTGCGGGGAGTGGGCAGCAGCGTCATCAGAGGCAGCCCCGGCGGGGACGGATTCCCCGGCCTCCCCAAGGGGCACTCACCTTGTAGATGCCGTCGTAGCGGTTGCCCTCGGCGGGGGCGTACTTGCTGTGCTTGCCGCCCTTGACGTTGCGCACCACCCTGACTGGCTTCCCCGACCGCCAGTCCTTGGCCTCGGCCCCCTCTTGGTCATTGATGGGAGCAAAGCAGTTGAGAGCCAGCGCCCTGGGGGGAGAACCAGGACCCCGTGCGTTATAGGTGAGCATATGCCACACAGAAAGGAAACACGGGGGCCGGCCATGGTGGCTCATGCCTGTGATCCCAGCACTTTGGGAGGCTGAGGCGGATGGATCGCTTAAGGTCAGTAGTTCAAGACCAGCCTGGCCAAGATGGCAAAATCCCATCTCTACTAAAAATGCAAAAATTAGCCGGGCGCGGTGGCTCAAGCCTGTAATCCCAGCACTTTGGGAGGCCGAGGCGGGTGGATCACGAGGTCAAGAGATCGAGACCATCCTGGTCAACATGGTGAAACCCCGTCTCTACTAAAAATACAAAAAATTAGCTGGGCATGGTGGCGCGTGCCTGTAATCCCAGCTACTCAGGAGGCTGAGGCAGGAGAATTGCTTGAACCCGGGAGGCGAAGGCGGCAGTGAGCCGAGATCGTGCCACTGCACTCCAGCCTGGGCGACAAGAGTGAAACTCCATCTCAAAAGAAAACAAAAAGACAGGGTCTCACTGTGTCATCCAGGCCGGAACGCAGTAGCTGACCATGCCTCACTGCAGCCTCCTGGGCTCAAGTCATCCTCCCACCTCCAGCTCCCAAGCTGGGACTATAGACCCATATGACCACAACCAGCTAACTTTTAAAAAAAGTTTTTTCGGCCGGGTGCGGTGGCTCAAAAGCCTGTAATCCCAGCACTTTGGGAGGCCGAGGAGGGTGGATCACGAGGTCAAGAGATCGAGACCATCCTGGTCAACATGGTGAAACCCCGTCTCTACTAAAAATACAAAAAATCAGCTGGGCATGGTGGCGCGTGCCTGTAATCCCAGCTACT